AAAAATTGTAAAAGCTTTTACAATCTATGCCAACTAGAGACAGAATTTTCCCTCAAAATTGAATGGAACTTTTTTGCAACGTCCCACGGAAAGTCACCATGCGATGGAATTGGTGGTAATGTAAAAAGGTTAACAGCACAAGAAAGTTTAAAACGACCATACAGAAACCAAATTCTCACATCAGAGGCTATGTATGAATTTTGTGTTGAGAAAATTAAGGCTGTTAACTTCATTTACATAAAGGGATTGGACTTACAATTGCAACGTGAAAAGCAAAAAGAAAGGTACACTGATGTAACAACTCTACCAGGTACTCGTAGCTTTCATCAATTTATACATCTTGGAGATAATAGGGTTGGGGCGAAGAGGTGTAGTACAGACACTAAATATACAATAATTCACAATCTTAAAAAGAAACATATATTTGAACCTGATACTGTCACTTTAGGAGGTTATGTTGCGGTAGTTTATGATGATAAGTGGTGGATCGGCATTGTTACTGAAATCAACCTAGAAGAAGTTGATGCTGAAGTTAAGTTTCTCCACCCAAGAGGTCCATCAATCTATTTTAACTGGCCTGAAAGAGACGATCACTGTTTTATTCCTAACATCAATATATTGAAAAAACTATCTGTTCCACAAGCTTGCTCTAGTTCTGGTAGAAACTATGTGTTTGAAAATGTTGAAATAGAAGAAGTGCAAGTAAAATGGCAACAATATTGTGAACTATTACAAATACAGTCAAAATAACTTGCACATTCGATACCTTTAAAAATCTTGTATATTTAAGTAACTTTGTAAATTAGGAATAATTTATTTTAATTGAATTTATAAAAATTTTTTAGGAATTTCTTAAAAAAGTTATACATCTTTAAAATTAAAGTTCTATATGTTTCAGTTTTTTTTCCAGTTAGATTTTTTGTGCCTAGTAAGATTATAACTAGCTTAAAATATTGAAAGCAAAAAAAAAAAAAATTTGACGGGGGTGTTTTGAGATATTGGGCCCTAAAGTTAGATTATATAAACTAGTTGATTTATTAATTTTTAAGGATGTTCCTCTAACATTTCAGCATTTTAAGTACATTTATTGAATTCAGCATTAAAAAACCATTATAAATGTATATTTTTATATTTTTGCCATTTTTATTTCTTATTTTATTGAGGAAAACAACTTTTCAGAATGTTATGAAAACCGGGTCATTTTGAGAAACCAGGTCCAAATTAAATTTGCTGTATCTTGTCAACCGCTTGACATTTTTAGCTGAAATTTTGCATGCAATATTTTTTTATAAATAGAAATCGTGTGTCAAAATATAAAACAAAAAGAAGACACATGGTTCAATGGAGTGGGTGATTTGATGTGGAATTACCCAGTAGTTAAATTACTAAATAAAATATCATTAGAAATTGAATTAGAAATTATTAAAGGTATTGAGCAATAAATAATTCTTGTAATAGTTTATATAAAATTGTTTGAAAGCAATTGTTTAAAAATTCAGATATAGAAATATCTAAATTAATTTTTATATGATTTAATTAATCATATAAAAATCAATATTGTTTTTGATATAAATCATTTATATCAAAAACACCCAAAATAAGTATATATTAGACATAAATTATTAAATTCCTAAATAACCCTTGGGAATGCAATTAACACAGTCTACAATATTAGCTTTTTTCTTTCTACAAACACAGGCTCTAAAAACTGGAGTTTATGCAAAATAAAAAATTTCTTATGTTAATATATTAATTTATCAGAAATTAAAAGTAAAGCATCTCTGAAAAAAGACATTAGGAGTATGCTCATAAACATATTCATAAAGATTTATTGGAGTGGTTGGCGGTTACTTAATTTTTGATTGAGTTTTTATTAATCCAATAATGCTAAATTCTCAAGGTACCAAAGATAAATATTTTAAACGGCTTTATAAATTTTTATGAATTTAATTCATCAAATTATTTAGTGAGTAAATATTCTTCTAATAAAAATGCGCTCTAGCTGATTCCATCGCCAATGAAATCAGTTAGAGCACACTACCTATAGATTACCTCCACAACAGTTATAGCTAGAAAAAAAACTGTAATTTTCAGAGTTAGCATGCAAAAATATTTTAGAAATATCAAAGATTGAAACGAAAACATTTTTTTTTATCAATGGTATTGGTAAAAAAAAATCCAATAACTATTGAAATGTAGAAACTACAGTTTATATTTACTTACTTTGAATTTAAAGTTAAATTATATGCTTACAATAGATGTTGATATATAAATACACAGAGCCGCCCAGAAGGATTGGGGTTGCTGGGTACATTTTACCTAGGCACACCGACACTTGGGGACACATGCGGCCCAAAAAATTTTAATAAAAGACTTTATTAAAACTTTTAATAATCATAAAAAGTACTCCTTAGATTTAAAACAGAATTTAAAAAACTCTTATTACAATTAGAGTTTATCTCAGCAGTCTTTAAATATTTATTATTCTATTAGAATTTATTAATTTAATTCAAAAAAAGGAAAAAAAAAAACAAAACGTTATCATCACTAAATGAATATATCTTTTCGCTTTTTAATTAAACATTAAAATAGAAAATGTTTATGCATTAATAAATGTATGATTATATTACTTTTATTTTAAATCAGGAGAAATATACGATAGTTTCACGTTCTTTTAAAGACAGTTTTAGCATTTTGCAAAATTTATATGTATTTTAAAACGGATTATGTACATATTTGCTTTTATATAAACGCAGACAATATGTAAACGGGGCTTGGTAATAAGGGGTCGTCCATAAATTACGTCACGCAATTTTTGACCGTTTTTGACCTCCCACCTCCCCCTCCTAACGGCTCTTATATTTGGATAAAAAATTCAAGATGAGAATGTAAATAGTGCAGTTTGGGTAACATCATGTAGCCTAACTCACTATAACAGTCAATTTGTTCATCAAATAGTTCCTTTAGTTTAAATCATGTACAGGATTCAAAACTAAAAGAAAATATTGATGAGCTACTTTGACAGGAACTATTAGATGAACATCACGGTACTATTAGATAAACAACCAAAACTTTAAACTACATGGTTGAATGCAAGCCGGCTTGCATTCAACCAAATAGTTAAAAATTTTTTCTCTTTTTCATTTTGTTTTATAGACCTTCTAATGCAAACATTGGTCTTACTTGTGGTATAGTAAACACACCAGCTATAATTTTTGTTTCTGATAGTTTAGAAAACATTGATTCGATCTTCTTAAATGTTTCTTCACTTTGATCTAGTGCTTTGACAAGTTAATTGATCAAACCCAACTTAATGTTGGTGGAGGCAGAAGAATGTTTTACACAGGTACTTTAGCAACATTCTTCACATCATAGATGTTGCTCTGGTTGCAAATCTTTTCTTTTAGTTCATTTCCTTTGAATATAATGATATACAGTATCTCTACAAACACAAGAAAAAATGATGCTTGAAAAATCCGCCTTGTCTTGCCAATAAATAGTCACCATTGATAAGGTTAATATGAGATACTAATTTCTTAAAACTATCTTGTCACATCCAAACAAAAGCAGAGAGGTTTTTTGAAAGTAAAGTAAAGAACATGCAATGTATGCCTTGTTTGGTACTTGGTGTTTCACACAGTTAAATAGTTGAATGAAAAAATTTTCATTCATTTAATCTGGATGTAAGCAGCTTTGCACCAGCATTTGCAAGATTTAAGTCCTTAACTAGATTATTAATTTCTTCTTGGTTAGAAAAATAAGGATAACCAGATTGACACGTTTCCTTGTCTTGTTCTTCTCTATAATCATTCATCAAATACTTCCTTGTTGACTTGACAGTCAACCTGTTGTTAGTGGAACTGGAATAAGCATATGCTATTCATGTTGTACCTGTGAAATAAAAGAAGCCAATTTAGAATAAACCAACTTTTTCTTGTCATTAGCTTTCTTAAAATCATTAACGTTTACCATGCATTTTTGCATGGTAAACGTTAATGATTGTAAGAAGGCTAATGACAAGAAAAAATTAGTCTATTCTAAATTAACTTCTTTTATTTCACAGGTATAACGTGAATAACATATACTTAGTCATTAAGGTGATTAGTTGGCTCTCTCAAAAATCTTGGTTCTGCAAATGGTATTCTTTTGTTGTAGTGTCTTTTAAACATCCTTCCAATATTAAGTAAAACAGTCACAGATAATAATAGGAGGCCCAAGGTTTATCTTGATTCCCAATAAACATACCAAAGTATTTATTGTGAGCTTGGTAATACTTTGTTAGCCTTGATTATGTTCATTTTGATTAAGCAGGTCTAATAACACCCAAAAACGTAAGAGAAACACTTTGCTGATAATTTACAATGTCTAGAAGCAATTATGCAAAGTTACTTAATGTTTTTATTTCCCTAAAAAGATAAGAAGGTAAAATGAAATTACTTTATAATTCCAACAAAGAAAAAAAACTATTCACTTGAACAATCTAAAAGCCAAAAGCAACATGATAATTAACGACACCATGCAGTAGTAATAATAATAATAATAATAATAGCAATAATAGCAATAATAATAGTAATAATAATAATAGCAATAATAATAATAGCAATAATAATAATAGCAATAATAATAATAGCAATAATAGCAATAATAATAATAAAAACAACAAATAGCAATAATATTTATAATAATATTATATAATATTATTATAAATATTATAATAAGTTTAATATTATAATAAGTTTGACTTTATAAACTTCTGTGAAAGGCAAACCATGTAATACATAGTTACAAGATTTGGGGCCATTAGTTACAATAATAGAAATATATTATATATATATATATATATATATATATATATATATATATATATATATATATATATATATATATATATATATATATATATATATACACATAAGTTACATAAATGTAGTTTTTAATTAAAACAAAGTGTTTACGATCAATTTAACATAATTCATTAATAAAATTTTCAGCAAGCTCACCTACGCTACCTCCTAAGTAAACATCTCCATTACCGTAATCTTCTCCCCAAATACTCACTCCATTTTTATCAAATCCATTTGTGGCACCATTTTGATTTGCACCAGGTCCAACTCCTAAATAGAAATATTATATATTTTTTAATTTAATATGACTATAAATAATGGATAATAAATATAATTGCTAACACTTGTTGTATTTCATTTGTAATCGTTTCACATTTTTTTCAACTTGGACATATAGCCTCTTGGTTCTCAGCTGACGATATGTTATTTATTTTCTACTCTGTTATTTACTATATATAGTTTTCTATCTTTATTTTGAGTAAGACAGGATTCAGTAAATAAAGAACATTTTCTTTAAAATTAGAATTTGTTTAACAAATCATAACTTTATGCGCTTCCTAATTATTCAACCAACGTTACTTCATAATTTTATGTGCTTATATATTAGCCATCTTTTTTGTAGTATCACACCATGTTTTGCAGTTTTTAATTTTACTTAATGAAAGTAAGTTTTCTTTTTTTTTATAAGATATTTTTTTAGAAGATTGTGATTGAGAATATTTTGTTATTATTGATGTTTATGTTTCCCTTTTGAAATTACCTCACCATTTACCCTTTGCAAGCATTCAAATCCTGAGAAATCAACTTAAAGTTAATCTTGTGGGTAGAGTATAATACTAAGGTTAAGTGAATTGGTTTAATATAGCCAGACTACTACTACCACATAGACTACTACTTCGTAGATAAATTGGTAGGGTTGTTTATTTCATTATTAGTATTTGGAATTAACAGTTTGTGATAATGAACTTTAATATTACAGCTTTGTAATAATATTCTTTCTTAATTTTTTTTTCTTAAAAAAAAAATATGTATTATTTTAAATGGTTGAAATAGTTAAAAATGAATTAACTATAAAAGTAAAAATAAAAAACCATTATAATGCTTTTTTAATCTTACGGTTTTTAGGGCTTAATAGTATTTTTCAAAATTATGCTAAAAACATAGTGCAAAGTATCTTCATCAGTATAGAAACTTTTAAAAGTATTCTTTTTCAATTGTTATTGATTTATTCTGACTCAGGTAGGGATTCAATGTATTCCAGTATAGCAGCAAATCACTCAATAGTATTGAGTGTATTGACAATAGTACACTCAATAGTATTGAGTGTATTGAAGTGCATTGACAATACACTTTAACCTTAACTTTGAATAAATAGAAAATAATATTGTGTTTTAGTAATTTTTTTATCATTAAAAACATTACACTAACTAATAAGCTTTCAATAAGAAAGTTGTAACAACACCAAAAAAAATTCAAAATGTATTTTATTGAAAACCTATTATATTAATAGTTTATTCTAGTTAATTACCTTGCACAGATACATAATTATATAGATACATAGATACATAACTATCTAGATACATAGATATCTAGATACATAGATATCTAGATACATAGACATCTAGATACATAGATATCTAGATACATAGATTCATAGATATAGTGCAGTGGAGCAGTGGTTAAAGTTCTGAGATGTCCAAGGTTTGACGCCGGCTCCAGCTCTATAAACGGCATTGGTAAGGAAGGAGGCGTGAGTTTCCTAATTAAATGCTCTTCCGCAGGGCTCTGTGATAAAACCGCATGGACTTCTCGGAGCACCTGGAAAAAAAAAATGATACATACAAAAAAAGTACCAAGAATGAGTTAAAAGTGTGTGAAGGATATCTTTCGCAACCTTTCTGTAGGAAGAAAAAAATAGCAAAAACAAGCTCAAAACATGAGCAAGCAGTAAGTTATCATTTTCATTTTTAAACCTCGAGCCTTTTCTTTTTTTTTGAGCCAGTACTCTAACCACTGCAGTACGGCTGCTAGAATGCTTATTAATATTATCTCACTGATGTAGATTATTATTGTTGTTTTGTGTTGATGTAGATTGCATTATTATTTTTTATTCAGTTCTATCAAAACCTCATAAGTTATCAAATATTTATTGTCATTAGAATTTCTATGGACTTCTAAAAAAGCTAAAAAATATTCTAAATTGATATTTTTTAGAAGTTTTAAAAATATTTTATTGTTTCTTAAGCCAGAACTCTTACTACTGCACTATGGCTGCTCCATATAATAGAGACCCAGAACTTTGATTCCTCTACCTTACCTAGCATAGTAAACGCTCTATTCAATTTAGTGTCTCCGTGCTTTTATAATTAACCTTCCGCCTCCCTCCCCCCCCCTCCCATCTCATATACGCCATTTGCGGACCCTCTCTTCCTCTCTGAGCGTACGAACTTTATGAACGATCCCTTACCTGCAGTTTGAGACCACTGACCAATTAAATTAAATATTTAAAAATATAATAATAATAATAATAATAACAAAAGTAATAATAGTAATAATAATAATAATAACACGTAGTAAAAGATAATACAATTTTAAAATAATAGTAACAAACAAAAACATTTTTTTCAATATAACAGCAAAACATAACATTTATTAAACATTCATTTGTAATAGCAATAATTTTGATCATAAATGTTTTACAATATATAAAAGGTTTCGTTTTTGATTATTGATTCGAAGTAAATGAAGAATAGAAACAATAAAATTTTTTTAAGGTTTTTTTATCCATATGAATAAAGATTATGAGCATAAGTATTTTACCTTCAGGACAATGAAAGTTGTGTGTTGAAGTGGTGCAAGTTTTCGGATCATATGTAAAACCACCTAAATTTCGAGCTGGAATATGGCCGTTGGCATAATTAATGGTCAACAATCCTCCGCCAACTTTCAGTTTTGTTTTTAATTGAAAACTGCTATCAAATACAAGCTTTAAACCGTTTTGTCCAGTTAAATACAACTTATTTAAATTGTTGAAGTCGCACTCCGCTGTAGAAATATTGAAAGCAATTGTTTTTGTTTCCCACAATTTATTGAATATAGTTACACTTTGATGTTCAATTTCCCCTGTTGTATTGCAAGAGTTGATTTGTAGAATACTGCTATCGGTATTTATTTCCGTAACCAAAAGTTCTAAAATTACATATAATATTTGTTATTGATTTATATTTTAATACTTTTTAGTTTATAAAATTCAAAAAAAAAATTCAAGGACTGAGAACTACTAAAGAAAGACTTATATATCTTTTGCGCACTTCTGAATTTCTTTACTAGGCTCAGATGATGAAGCAGTTAAGTGGCAAATTGTTTTTAAAATTTACACCTTTTAACATAAATAACCTTTTTAAAGTATTTCAAAGAAAAATGTATTCATCTTGGCTAATCTCAAATACTCCATAACAATCAAAAATTGAAGAATATTTGACTTATTTTAAACTACCTTTTTCAGGAAAAATATCCAACTTAAAAAAATCCAAGATCTATCCAACTAAAAAAAAACTGAATTTAATTAAAAAAAGATATCGCCGTTTTGTAAATTTTAAATTAGTAATAACTTCACTTAAAATTTTGAAATTCTTTACTTCTAAAGATCCTATTCCTCTAGGGTGCAAATCGTTCGTGGTCTTCAAGTTCGTATGTGCAGGATTTAACTCCTGTTATATAGGGAAAACTAATCGCCATTTCAACACGGGTAGCTAAACGTTATAAAAGTGTCTTATATCTATAAACATATCCATGTTAATGAAAATTGTTTTGTTTAATTAAATAATAAGTGTTCTTTCCGTTTTAGATTCAGCATCTAATAAGTTTGAATTAAAACTTGAAGAATTAAAAAAAAAAAGTTTTTAGAATGGTTAAAACCTAATATAAACAAACAAATTAACCATGTCCACAGGACGCTTTCTGTTTTTCTAAAAAAAGTTTGTCTGCTTTATCAAAATAGATGGGAAGGTGGGACCAGACCTAATAAACGGGAGTTTTATGGATAGGGCCTAATAAAAGAGTGACTTTTTTATTTTTGTGAACAAATATATAAATTCTAGTGTGGTTTGAAGTTAATTACGTATTTATATTTATATATATATATATATATATATATATATATATATATATATATATATATATATATATATATATATATATATATATATATATATATATATATATATAAATGCGTAGGAAGGTTTTTAAATGTTTGAAATAACCAACTTATAAACAACAAATTTTTTTACGTTGAAATATGTGAACAATGGAGAATGGGAACAAGAAACCGTGAAATCTTATTCCCCTCCCCTGCCCCAAACGTGAGAGCAACAAGTTGATGAAATATTTTTTTTTTCTATTTTTAACTAAAATTATATTCAAAAAGAAATTTTAAATTTCATAGTAAAATATTTTAGTATTCAAAAGTTATGACCATATAAAGTTTGCAACCCCCTCAAATTCAGGGGGTTTAAACTTTACATGATCATAATTTTTGAACACTAAAATTTCTCAATGAATATAAGTCTAGTTAAAAGTAGTACAAAAAATATTTCATCAACTTGTTGCTCTCACATTTGGGGCTGGGGGGCTAAGCTTTTAGGGTTTCTTGTTCCCATTCTCCTACCACAGAAATTTTTTCTGGCTTCAGAGAAAAAAAAAACAAGTTATTTTTGAAAAAAAAAAATAATGCGTACGTACGCGGAAAAAGGAGGGGGGGGTATTCGAAAGCGTAAAGGTTCGTACAAGGGGGGAGGGGGTCCTAAATCTGCGTACGTACTTTATCGATGCCCCCCTATAATAACGAGATTTTTAAAGGTTAAGGATTTTTGAAGTCTGATTGCTCTAGTTTATATTCTTGTCAGTGATTGATATATATTTTTTTCTTGTCAGTGATTGATACATTAGGAGCCAAAATTATTGATACCTTTAGGAACAAAATAAACATTGGTAATATAAATGCTCGTTTATTTAAAATGTGCCAACAAAAGTATTCATATTCAAAAATTTTCATTTATTTACCAAAACGTTTTTTCGGTTTTTCGCTCTTAATATTTGGTATGATACTCCTTGGCGTCAATCACTGCTTATAACCTCCTTGGTAAATTGGAACCTAACTGGGTTCTCTTAATTTTTTGGTTCAAATAATTTCAAGTTAAAAGTTATAACTTAGGAAGTGTTTTGTAAGGTCCATATTCTTTTTTTGACGAGTAAACTTCTTGTTTTGTTTAAATATAAGTGCTCTTGTTCCCTTTCTTTGCTTCCTGGTCAAATCAATCGTGTAGCTAAAAAAAAAGTTAACTATTTTTTTGAGGATAAAAAAATAATTAATCAAGTGCTGTTAAATTAAATAGTCTTACTTGTTACATTTTAAAGTTTTCTTGAGATATTTTTTAAATAATTTTGTAGAGGTGCCAGAAAGAGGTAATTTTGTAGAGGTGCCAGAAAGAGGTAATTTTGTAGAAGTGTCAGAAAGTACTTATTATATTGCGGAAATAACAAGTACTTTTTGGTTGAATGTTTGAGTGTTTTAATAAGCTTCATGTAGCATATCAAATCATCTGGAATAACTGATAACGGATGCGTTGAACTTTCCATAATCTCCAAAAATTAGCCTCCTTGTCCTTGTGCTACTTTTTCAGAAAAGATTTTTTTTGAAGTTATGTACAGCTTCATGGAACTTTCTCTTATGGTAGTTGATTGTAGAAGTTGATGCCTCTAATATGTGTTTTTCTTATATTTGGAGCGCTTGTCGCTAAGAACTCATTAACATATTCTGAAGAAAAAGAGTTTTCTGGAAACACTAAATCAAGTGTGTTCAATCAATGATCGTTCTCTAATCAAGGAATCAAGAATCATTCTCTATTTGATCATGATTTAGAAACATGCTGTCTCTGTGAATTCTACACAGCTGACCAGATATCGGAAAAGAACCAAGAAAAGATTTATTAATATTTTCATAATGGTCTCTTGTTGCTTTTCAGAGATCTTTTTGTTTATCTGTTCTCTTATTTGTTGTAGGAGCTTCATGGAATGGGTGTAAGCATTGCTTTGGTACATACCAGTATGTGCCATACTTCTGTTTATGAAAAGCTCATATAACTTGTTCATTACTTAGTTCTACATGTATTTGCGACTCAGTTACATGTTTTTTGGTAAAACCATTAGCTAACATTTGTGTTAACTTGTTGCATTTAAATAATCCAATTCATCTTGATCTTAAATGCTCCTCTCGTGAACCTTCAGAAAATAAACTGCATTTTGTATAATCAACATTATCATGTTCAGTCATGTTATTAAATAATTATTTTATTTTATTTTGACTCTGGATCAAACTCTTCTATCACTTCAATTCAAACTCTGCACTTTCACAATTTTCATGTAAACTTATTCTACATAACAATCCACAAACATCATTAAAAAACAATCCACAAATATCATTTAAAAACCTTTTAACATATTCATGAAAAATATTAATTATTAGGCATATTGATAGCAATTAATTAAGAATATTTGTAAATTTATAGAAATCATAAACCACGAAACGTTCAAAAATGTTCTTACGCTTTCAACTTGGATGTTAAGTAACCACTATGTGGGATTTTTCATGAATTGTATCATAAAAAATAGCAAACCATTAAATTATACATAATAATAAAAATGTATTATAGAAATGGTATTATAAATAAATTAATAGTATGTACACTAATAAAAAAAAAAATTAACATTTGGCGCCCCTTGGATTTCTGCCACCCGGCAAAAACAGGACAAAAATAACATATATTTTATCGCTTTTAAAGCAGCTGAGGTTTTGAGACATGACTTTTAGACTAAGATTGAGTTTTAAATCAGTTTGATTGTATTTGCAGTAAAAAAAAAAGGTTTTTCTTTCTAAAAAATTTATAACATACTAATGTAAGCCTTAATTAACCAGAGACTTGGTGCTCAAAAGTACAGAAATTGCGTTATTGAACGCTCCTAGGGTAGTTTTGGGTAACGGGAAAAAGTGTTGCAGATATTTTAAAAACTCAATTTTATTCCTTAATATATGAAACTTGATATTATATTCGTTTATAAAAACTCAGCACCATTCTCCCATTTCAAACAACTTTTTTTAACTGCATGAAGTAGCAACATCGAAATATGGAAAGTTAACGTTTTATGAAACTTCGAACCGCAATAACTTTTAAACTGCTTTGAACTATGGGCTTAAATTTTCAGGTTTTTTTTATTGGATATAGTTGGAATAGTTGAGTTATTGAAAATTCAATAACTCAACTACTCCAACTTGCCTCATTCTTATAAAAAACGACTCTTAAACGTTTGGCGTTGGTATATTTTTATATAAGTGTATACGAAATATTTTTATATAAATTTATATGAAATATTTTTATATAAGTCTACGAAAATGTAAGCAAAAAGTTAATATAGTAAGATTGAATAAGTAAAAATATTCAAAAAAAAAAAAAAAACTATTCATAAGTTCAAGATGTTAAAATTAAGTTTCTAAATTTAATTAAAGCGTAACAATTAAAGTGAAATATTTTACATAAACTTAATTAAAAGATACTGAAGCTATGTGAAAGATTTTTAGATGTGCAGATTTTTTATGCTAATATTGAATTTTAAAATTGAATTTCAAAGTTTGTTATAAAAACTGTAAGATAAGTTACGTAGCAACTGTTTAAAAAATCAAATAAATTTTACTTAGTAGGGAGTTAAATGATCGAAATTTGTTTTTTAAACCTTTGCCTTTAAAGTTATTAAAATTATACCGAAAAATAATATTTTTTTTAAAAAAAAATTGTATTTGTATTTAAAAAAGAAATTGTATTTTTTAAAAAAAGAAATTGTATTATTAAAAAAAGAAATTGTATTAAAAGTTACACCAAGAAAGAACATTTTTTTAAAAAAGAAATTGTATTTGCGTTAAATATTCTTTTATATAAGTCTTTATTAAAATTATGCATCCTTCATTGTAAAACAATTACATAATTAAAAAAAAAACTTAAAAAAATACACTTTTTTTATATTACCTTGTTCACATCTGAGGTTACAAACAAGTTGAAAAGTCATCTAAAGAAGATATTATAAATAATAGTAATAAACAATTAATACTAATTATAAATAATTAGGGTTTTTAAAATGGGATTTTTACAAAGCAAACGCGCTTTACATCTATAACTGTATAAACTTTTTCTTTAAATATAAATAGAATAATGCAAACAAAAAATAAAATTTTTATGTAATAAAACAAAAATGGAATAAAATATTTTTAAATCAAATTTTATTTTTAATTCTAGTTTTTTTTTGGCTATTTATTTTATTATGTTATTATTTATTTGTTAAGTATTATATTTTTATTTTATTTTATATATTATATATGAAAATAATTACCATATAGTTTTATTAATACCCTATTAAATGTTATTGGTAAAATTGCATATTTTTCTTCCCCCATCTAAAATTTATTTGGTCTCTACGTCATTGTGTTGCAAACAACAACCTGGTTTTTTGTTGTTGTTGTTGTACTAGTAGTAGTTATTGTTTCAACCTTTTTTTGAATGATGTTTTATAAATGATAAATGCAGAAGAATATATTTGCAATCGTAAAAAATAGCTAGGATGGATCTTTTTAGTATTAATGTCTTCCATTAAAAACTAAAATTGCATTTTTACTGAAAATATTAGCATCCCTTACAAGTTAGAAATTTTGAACATAACAGTGATTAATATAGCACCCTTGAAACTCCCTTGAAACAATTTAAATATACATAATTTTTATATATACATAAGTACTTATATAGACTCTAGTCTATATAACCGTAAGTAATATATACCGTAATATATACCGTATAAAAATTTTATCACGTAATATATACACGTAAAATACACATAAACCTTATAACATAAAATTATAAAAACCGTGTAACATAAAATATAAAAACAAAAGACAAAATTATTTATTAGTGCTGTTAAAATTTACTAAAAATATAATTAAATAGGGTTTAACTAACAAACCAAAATCAAAAAGCTTTTAACGCAATATATAAAAGCTTTGAATATGAAGCTTTTAAAGCAATATATAAAAGCAAGCACCCATTTTGGAATAAAATGATGTGAATATATGTATATATTTTTTTAATAAAAAATAGTTAAAAATATATTAAATAATAAGAAATGCATTTACCATAAGTTTGAATGCGAGATAAAACATTTTACTTGAAAAATAATTTAATCAGTTTGTTCACAAACAGTTTCAAGTGTAAACTAAAGCATAAAATATTCACAAGATGAACAGATAATCATTTATATATATAAAAAAATCTATTTAAAAAAATGAAAAAGTAAACAAGGGTCGATATTAAAGTTAATAAAAAATATTTATACATATGATTTTTGCCTATTAACAAATAACCTTCAAGATTTTGAAAAAGTTTCTATCTTGTTTGAAATTTTGCATTTCTACTGAATAATTCGCCGCCTTATAAAAAAAATTCTGTATTTTGTTTATACGTCAAATAACAAGTCTAAAGCGAGCAAACAATTTGTAAAATTTTTACTTTTACGAAAACTGCACTTATTTAAAATGTTTTATTTTAATTTTTTAAGTATGGTTTATAAATACTAGATTTTTTAAGTAGGATTTATAAATACTAGATTTAGTCATGCGGATAACCGAGAAAAGTGTATTAGAATATGACAGCATTACTGATGACAAGAAAAAGAAAGGAACTTGGATAGAATATGTTGTTGTTGGATATAAGTGATATTGTGGTTTATATTTCATCAGCTACTCGTATTAAGACATCATCTCATAAATTATATTATGTTTTATATATAACGCAAAAAAAAAAAAAATACTGAATTTTTTTTTATAAGGGGGCGAATTATTCAGTAGTTAAGCGAAATTTCAAACAAGATAGCAACTTTTTTACAATGTTGAAAGTTTCTTGTATTATGACATCATCTTATATGATGTCTTAATTCAAGTGTACAAATACACAAAAGTTTATTTCTTTTACCAGCGCTTCAAAGTTCACCATCGTAATTGTACATTGCGTTATTGTACAAGCCGTGAGAGGTTTCAAAGCAGAAGATTTAAATTTGATAGCAAGAAAATAAAACTCAGAGAGCTACCAAAGAAACAGAAAAAAATATGCAGAGAATAAATATCAGCCGCACCTAGTTACAGGAACTTTAATAAGTTTAATAATAAGAAATTTTAATAAGTATTTTATTTTTTATTATAGTTATATAAAGTTTCTATAAATTTTCACAAATGGTCAATAAAAAATTTAATAGAGTTTCTATTGAATCTCTAATAGTTTCTATAAAATTTGAAAGGTTTTTGATGTAAATTGGTTAGATTTTGTATGGGGCTCAAATTTACTAGTCAATAGTTTTTTTTTAGTTTCTACAGTTTGCACCAAGGTGTGGTAAGCCGGAAAATAATTTTATTTTTGTTTTTGATGATCCAGAAGAGCCCCAAAAATTTGCCTAAAAATGTTACCTAAGTTCATACTCTTCAAAACTTAGCTTTAACATTTACTAAAAAAATCTGTCGTTATGGCTACAGAGTTAAAAGAGTAAAAACAGAATCAACTAGCCTCGATTTTCCTTTTATTTTCCTTTTATTTTAAGGTTACCTGAAAATTAAATTTATTAAAAGATAGACGCAGTTTTAAGTAAATTAACAAAGTCTCGTAGTATGAAGTTGGTTGAGCGTGTATGTCAGCTAAAGCTTCTAATAACCATAATGGTTTAAAAAAAATTTTAAACACCGTGACTAATCTTTTTTTTAAAAACATTTTGTTAAAATTAAGGCTTTTATTAATGCATCGGCTTGCAAGCTGACATTTAGCTAGAGTTTTTGTGAGCAGCCAAGTATTGCACAATACGGGTTTATATACGAGTACCAGTTGACAATCGATTCATGCCCTAGTTTTTTAGTTGCATGGTTCGTATACAGCTTAATAAAAAAGTTATGCTTTGTTTTTTATTGTGCTGTATAACATTTATCTTGTTTAAATTTTCTATATTATTTATTCACAAACTAAAATTGTTTTAAGAACTTATTGGGATAAGTTAATGGAAAATGTGTTGTTTCTTATTTTGATTAGTAATATAGAAAGTCATAAAAATTAACTTGATTTTTATGACTTTCTTGAAAATAATTTACTAATTATTTTCAAGAAGTACATAAACTTAAACTAAAAAATTCTAATGATTATCAAAATCTAAAGTCTGGATCGCTAGCTGGATCGGAGTCTAATTTGTCTGGATTAGATACTGGATAGAAGTCTGGATTGGAGAATGGATTGAAGTCTGGATTGGAGAATGGATAGAAGTCTGGATTGGAGAATGGATAGAAGTCTGGATTGGAGAATGGATTGAAGTCTGGATTGGAGAATGGATAGAAGTCTGGATTGGAGAATGGATAGAAGTCTGGATTGGAGAATGGATAGAAGTCTGGATTGGAGAATGGATAGAAGTCTGGATTGGAGAATGGATAGAAGTCTGGATTGGAGAATGGATAGAAGTCTGGATTGGAGAATGGATAGAAGTCTGGATTGGAGAATGGATAGAAGTCTGGATTGGAGAATGGATAGAAGTCTGGATAAAAAGACTTTTAAACTCTTTTTTTTAATCTTAAAAAACCTTTTTTTTATATTAAAAAAAAAAAAAAATTAATTTTGACTCTTTTTTGCGAAGATATCATTACTGGCTTTTCTGAAAAATTTAAATACTTTCCAACTAACTCAAATGAAGTTAATTAACAAGCCATATGCTAATTCTGTCGATTTTATGATTTTAAAGTAAAAAAAATTCATAGTTCTTTTTCTGTATAACACGTAAACGTTAAAAGTTGTTTAGAAGCAAATCATAAGCAAGAAAAAAATACTTAAGAACAAAATCTTTATTCCGACATTGCTTTGTGAGATTTAATATGATTAAGAAAGTTTTCTAGAATTAAAGCCTATCCGTTGTTTATAAGTTTGTTGATTATAATATAAATTAATTTATTATATAGTAGTTTATTATATTATAAATTAATTAGCCTAACAAGAGATGGTTTTAAAAAAGGTGGAGAACTGGGGGTTTTAAGTCTCAGACAAAAATGCTAATAAGGTAAAAAATGTACTGTATTTTTCAAATACTAACTAAAAATGTCTTTTCACCAAACTTTTTTATTAGTTAGATGCGTTTTTTGTCTACCAAATAGTAAAACTAAATTATTAAAAATTTCATTAAAAAAAATGATTATAAAAGTTAATAAAAAAATAAAATAAATATAATATAGGTGACAAACCTTGATAGTCGGATTTATCAAATATTTTTTGAAGCAAAACGTAATTTTTAACAAGCTTTTTAAATTTAGTATCTTATTAGTTTTAATAAACACAATTGTGTTACAACTTCAACATGTTCATTTGACAGTATTTATATTAAAAACTTATTAGAAAAAAGATTAAAAAAACTTAAGTACAAAGTATTGTTAAAACTTAAAACTTATCTATTAATTATAATTAACTTATCTGTTAATTATGATTGTCAACAAAGTGCGAACTGCGTCCACCCGCCTAATATTAGACTGTAGATCTTTGTATTTTATGAGAAAATGTATTTTGAAAAACGTTTACTTTTTTACAAAACTATGCTTTACAAAGGATAAAAAATATATTTTACAAAACTTCCTAATGTAAATCATACTTTTTAGTGAATGAGAAAAGTGGAAAAGTTCACCAATATAAGTAGCAATCTGATTCGTTTAAAAATAAACTATGCAGTGTAAACTATACTTTGTAGCATCTGCAGCATTTGATTGGTTGCAAATGCACTCTATTGTATCAGGATTTAATTCTAAAAAGTATTGTTAAATCATGATAAGCAGAGTACCAATAAAAAGCGCTTTTTGAATTATAACATCGAAGTATGACTCAAAAATGTTCTCAAAAGATTTGAAATTGTTTCATTAATTCAAAACATAACAGCAGTGTCTTACCAATATGAAGCAATAGTAGTGTATTCTTGTTTCTTCTTTTTTAAAGTTTATATATTTTTCGTGTGTTTACTGAAAACTGACCAAAATTAAACAAGTCAGGCTATAATCTTATTTGTTTCCTAATTTTACCATATTAGTAAAAATGCTTAAAACAACCTTATGACTAATTAACTTAATTTTAAATCGTGTTTGCATTAAGAAAAGTAAAACTATGATATGGGTTTCTCTCTGCAATTGCAAAAATTGGTACTTACCCTCTCCTTCCTCCTCCTTCTAATTTTTTTTGTTTGCATAGCGGGCGTAGTTACGTCACTTACAACATTGCGTATGGCGCTTTTTTTTTTGATGGAGTAAACTAAAAATCTGCATCCGCCTCTGATATATATATATATATATATATATATATATATATATATATATATATATATATATATATATATATATATATATATATATATATATATATATATATATATATATATATATATATATATATATATATATATATATATATATATATATATATATATATATGGTTTACAGTTTAAAATTGGCAAGTAATTTATCAAATTAAAAAAAAAAAAAATTATAAAAAAACGGTTTGCAAAAAAGTTTTTTATTTTAGTATTTTGCAGTTTTCATTTTACTGTGTACAACTTACTATAACCTATAACTGGATTAATAGCTACCTTATTTGTAGAAAGCACTACATGCAAAATAAGTTAACAGTAAACAATTATATATTATATGTACTCAAGGAGGTATAATTGAATTGAGGGAAAACGAAGCTGAAAATCGTTTAAAGTTGTCGAAGTACAGCCTTTTTTTATATTTATTCCAGCGGCAAGTCAAAATTCACGTAAAGGCTTACGTGAAAAAGGAAAATTTTCAATTGTAGTTTATAACCTTTGTAAGCTGTAACCAAGTTGTAGCCAAAATGGATTACTTTCTTAAAAGTTGACAGAATAAGTTTTTAAAAACTCTTCCAACTATCAAGTAGTAATCACAATAAAAATCATGATCTACGTAAAGTAACCATTTTTTTAATACCTCAATACTAGGTTAAAACATCAAAGTTTTTGACAATCTCTACTACCTGGTTGAACCTTATTTTTTGCTTTCCCGTTTAGCTATAGGTTTATTACGTTTTTAAAGAACGTTTTTTCGGCAAGGAACTTATTATATCTCTCCAGGATTTTATTTTATGTTGTAGAATTTTTGCTGGATTTAAAAACAAACTGCTATATTCTAAATTAGGCACTTCAACATCTTTTTTCAAAATTTAAAATGAAAACAAAACAAATATTATAAGTTAGAGCTAAACTTTAACAATTAAAAATTAACAAACTTATCGTTATATTATTATTAATCGAAAACTTATGCAATTTTTAACTCACAAAATTTAAGAAAATTTTTAAGGTTTTTAGCGGTTTTTAGGAATAACATCAACGTTTCCATCACGTCCGTTCTTTTGCAAAAGTATCAATAAACAAGATTTTATTATTATTCAAAACTAAGAATATATAACTATAGTAATTGGAAATTTAATAACTAGGAAACGAGCCACCTTCGATATAATAAATCTGTGACAGTACTTTTTTAAAAGTATTTCATTTAATGGTAATGCAAAAGGGTGAAAGCAATAATCTAATTTTAAAAACTAAATTTCCGTCTAAAAGTTGACAAGTGTTTGTACTTGTCAACTTTTAGACGGAAAAAAAAAATTTTCTCAAAAGTTAACTCTTTGGTGGGAAGCATATTTTTTGTGTGATCAACGCTTACTATTCTAAATTATGCACACTATTAGGGTAATATAATGCTATAATTGATTTTGTTATACAATCAAAAAAACACTAATTACTTTCAAAATTATTTGGGTTATAAAATATTGCAATAAACAAATAAAAAGTTATTGTATTTCAAGTTATTGATTGAACGATGTAAGAACATACACTTCAAACTATTTTGTCAGCATAAAACCTCAGATTTTTTATTCTTCAGCTTTGTTTTATCGATTATTGATATTACGCGCTCAGATGTTGAAGTGCCTATCTAAATATAGAGATATAAAATACCTTTTCGTAAATCCGGCAAAAATACTACCAAATCATTTATTAATTCAATTCTAATCTAGAAATTCATTATTAGTCGTTCAAAAGCTCAACATAAAAAAAAATAACAATAAACTAACTCTAAATATTGCTTACAAACCTTTTAAGCTTTTATCTTTTATTTGCAATGCTTCAATTGCTTAGGACGTTTTGAAACAATATCATTGGATAAATGTGATTGGTTAACTTTAAACTTTGATAAATACGCGGTGTTTACTAAAAAACTATGTGAGAAAAGACGTTGTTTTAACTTCGTTCTCCCTTTTGTCTACTTTACCTCCTTGATATACTAGATGCCAAACTTCAATCCAAATAGTGAGTTTGATAGATTTTTCCTGCAAGCGAATCCAGATTTTGCGTTTTTTGTAAAATCAAGACCCGAATTATTTAAATTTATTTAAGCCATTTGTGCTAATTTTCTTGTAATAATTTGCGATAGATTAGGTTTATTATATTGAATAATTCTTTTTAATATATTATAGTAAATTTTTTATGACTAAAACGCTATTAAAAATGAATTCAATTTCAAGCACTTATTATATTCGGGTCTAGATTTTATAAAAAATGCGAAACCTGGATTTGCTTACTAGAAAAAAGTTTCAACCGATAAATAATTATAAAAACAAGTAAAAATAATTTGGGGTCTTGATTTTACAATTAACGTATCCACTTGTTTGAAATGACATAAAAGTAACCCATGCGTATAACGTTCCAAAAAAAAGTTCTTGGTCTGCGATTTCTTCAAATTCGGAAATGTTAGAACCAATAACATTAAATAGCACTAAACATGTATGACAACAACCATTATAATTTTTTTTTTTATTATTGCTGAATCAAAAATGAAAATGCAATAGCACTTTATAAATAAACAAATTAAAGACTAGGCTTCGAGGTTATTTTTGTTACCTTACGGTAACAATGGCCCATAAAGGTTTAAGAGATGATGATTATATTTAATACAGTTTATATACGCTTTAGAAGGTATATCACCCGTAACTGCATCTATTTTTATTTTAATCTTTTTCTTTTGTTTCTATAATACAAATAAAACAATAATTTAAAAGAGGAATAAATCAACAGATGATATGAAAAATAGGATTGTAAAATATTAATAAAATTGCATGTAAAAAAGTATATATATTTTTAACACCATTCAACCAATTCTTCTGCAAGTAAAAGATAAAGATTTTATAAAATATTGCGAGAGACCTTTTTTAGTAAAATACATATTATTTAATTAATTCATTGCTTTAAGTAAAAAGATTGTATAAATGTAAATCAACAATAACTACAACTCCATTATTAGTTAATTAACAAGTAGTTCTGATAAGTTTAAATCATTAATAGCAACTAAACAGTTAAGTATTGTAGAAGTTTATATAAACATTTATAAAAATGAATTGGATAGATAATCGTAATTGGTTTTGTAAAACAAAAAAATATTTGGTTTTGAAAATAAAAGGAGTTTCACTTAAAAAGTTGTATTAGTTTTCATATAACAAGGTGAATAGCACAACGTCTTTTGTTATGGAATTGTTTATCCAGTCAGTACACTCTATTAAAAAAACAACTTTGGAATCTTTGGATGATTGTTTCAATTTTGCACCAAAGTACAGTAATTCTTTGCTATACTTCGGTAGATGAGTAATAATTTCAATTAAAAAACAATGCTATTTGATTATATTATAATTTATAATCTAAGGCAGTGGTGGGTTTAAGGAGGAGGGAGGGGGCATGGGAATAAAAGTTACCCTTTGCGACGAACTTTATACTATGTTACATATTTTTTTAAGGCAAGTTATAAAATGTACTAATAATCTTTATATGCATAATTTTTGCATATATGCATACGCATAAGTTATGCAACATAATTACGTTTAAGCTAGTTTTATAGTAAAAACGCACAAATGTTTTGTGCGTTTTACAAAAAGGTTTAAAACCATAATGAATTGTAATTTAATGTGTTCTAAAGTGGATGGTCATAGAGTTTGCACTGTAAAGCATGCGACTGTTATGTTCGGAACAATGAACTTTGTTTTAAAACTTGTCACTAAGCCGGGTAAATAAAAAAAAGCAATTGCTTTTACTCAGCGTTTTTGGAGTAAATATTCAGCTTTACGTGAATCATAAAACTGACCAACTACTGAAAAAAAGCAATTGTTTTTTTATTTATCCGGCCTACTAACACACTAAAATTTTTTTTTTTTTTGCGTTATTACATTAAGTAATGATAGTATTAGTTAAAAGCATCAACAAGCTAGTCAAAATATTTCTTCTAATTAAAATATCATCAAAACAGTTAGAAAAACGAAAAAAAATTCTTCACAAAAACCTACAAAAATCCTTATGCATCGTTACTTTAAATTGCTAAAGCATCTGAATCTAGCAAAACTACTGTTTATATGCTCATAAAACGATAAAAATACTCTTAATCAATCGAAAGAGCAAAAAGATCTGAAAGAAAGAGTGACTTTAAGGATTAGAAAGCAGCAGCTAATATTCGACAATCATTCACGCAAAACCCGGCATACTGAACAGAGAACGAGCCGAAAGGTATAAAGTTTCAAAGTTTTTTTGTTAGGAAAGTTAAGAAATTTAACAATTTGTTAAATTTCTTAACTTTCAATATAAGACAAAAAGTCTTATCAAGCCATTAAATATCCAAATCAATCAGATAAGCAATTATTGACTGCTAAAACTAGAGCTTGAAAACTTAACAAAGTGCTAACAAAATTTAATGGCTGGATAATTATGGATGACAAAACGTACATCAAATGTGACTTCAAACAGCTCCCTGGCCCAACATTTTACACTTAAGTTGTTAGTGGACGTTTCAGCAACAAGTTCAAATATAAATCATTGGATAAATTTGGTAAAAAACTTATCTTGTGGCTAGCAATATGCAGCTGTGATTTGAGATCTCGAGTTTTGTCACATTGTCAACTTTAAAATCGGATGCTTACATCATGGAATGCTTGCAAGCTAGATTTTTGTCATTTTGTCGAGGTCGCAATGTCCCCAATTGGTTCTGACTTGATCTTGCTTCTTGTCATTATTCTAAGAAGACCGTAGAGTGGACGATTCGAGTTAAATCAAACTCATACGAAAAAGCTTGAATCCGTTAAACTGCCCTCAGTTCCGTTCCATTAAGAAATTTTTAGGAATTGGCAAAAGATATTTGCGTAAGAGTGGCAAGCAATAAGTACAGCTAAAGATTTGATAAGAGAGTGGACATTAGTGGAAAAAAAAAATGCCAAAG